AATGATATCATGCCATATCTATTCTTTCATTTAGCAAAAAAAAAGCTCATAGCTTCTAACAACAATTCCGCTAAATAGAGATTAGGAAGGACAACATTAGGGCTCTCAATATCCTAACTGCTCTGGGTTAGAGTTGGACAAAAACTGAAAGCTGATCGGTGTCCTTGATCCCATAGAACTCCCCTCATAGAATACAATGCTGATATTTTACCAGTAATGGGTATTTATTTCCATCTTCTGCCTATTTTCATTACCATGTCTAAAAATTTCATTGCAGTATGGAAAAAACAAACAAGTTTTCTGAACCATAAGAATAGTTTCTTTGCCACTTTATAAATTCTAATCAGAAGAAAAGTCGCCATAGAGTCTGAAGAATTGGGTTTAAGGGTCACTATTTATGAACTGCAACTCACTTGCTTCTTGTATATAACCATTTGAGGCTTGGGTTGAAGAGTTGAGGCCAAGTTCACAATAAAATTGGACAGAGAGGGTGGGAAGGAAAGGAGACAGCAAGCAAGAGCAAGAAGGAAAGAAAGAAAGATGCTTCAGATCCAGCTGAACAGGGGGGGTTCATCTGCAGAGTGTAGAGAGCTGGGAAGGGGCGAATTCCTTGCCAGTGGAGACCATGATTGTGCCCTCAGGCTAAATAAAAGCACAGTATAGTACATCTAGCATTCTAGCTATAGTTACACCAAAGCGAGGCTAGGCAACAGGAGGGCGCCTTGTTGCCTAGTTGCCTAGGCGATGGATTTTTTTTTCTTTTGAATAAAAATCATGAATCCTAGGGTAATTCCCTATGTTCCATAGAAAGCAGCAACCATCTTTCACTAGTAGTTGCCTATAATCTTCATAAAAAAATGTATAAAATTCATTTAAACATAGAAAATCAACATATTCATGAAAAGATGGAAGAAATAAAAGAAATTTCAGGACAGTTTTTGTCCTAGGAAGAGAAGAAAAGAAAGGATGAAAGATGATAACCAATATGTGTTGATTGAACAAAATTGCGAGTTCTTCCTTGCTTTCAGTTCAGGTTTTGAAGTCTTCGAGGGTTCAAGACAGCATACATATTGATTGAATGCTAATAAAATAAGAAAATAATAAAAATAAAGTAAAATTCCAACTCAGCAAACAAGAAGCATGACCAGATGCTCTGGTTTGTATTCTGTGGATTTCTGAAGTCCCAATATCCATATGGCTATTTTGCATGGGATGCAGGTACGAGTATAAGAATCTGAGACAAGTTTCAAAGTTCCATACTCAGGAAGCCCCAAAAAGTAGGATTCAGTGATTTGGCAGATATTCACCAATTTTAAGTTTTTTGTGTTATATTAATAATGGAATAGCTATTGTTAAAGAAGCCAGATGAAATTCAATAGTATAAATAAATGCAAACAATACTAAATAGATGATATTACATATTCAAGGTTATGTATGACATTGGTAAGGCGCTCATTTTGAACTGTCCATGTAGCCAGATGGGCTTATAAATTTTTCCAGTGATCTTCTGGTAAAATTGGTATAAGGGGAGCTTTATCAAAACTAGAAACCAGAATGATCTAAAAAGACGGAAGTAAACCACTAACACAAGCAGTCTGTTTCAGAACTCAAAAGGCCAACAAAAGATAATGCAGGAAAATAAAACTGAGACTCCTAGAAAGAATGGACCTATCAGGACAAAGAAATGGGACAAAAAGATAAACTTCAATATGGCATCATTTTTTTTTTATCAATAACAGAAACTTTTTATTAATTAATATGGCATCATGTATATCACCAACCATTAGAAGGAAATCAGCAGAACACATCTAGCATTAAAGTATTAGTCTGTGCCCATCTAACCATCTTTTCTAGTCAATGGATTTAGCTGCTGTTAGGAAGAACTGAAAAGAGATGCAGATGGAGTAACATTAATAATAAAACCAACAACTAGAACCAATGAAGTAACACCTCTCAACACCTCGCCCCTCTATTTGGAGTTGGCCAGACAAATCTCACTTCAACAGTCCATTCCATCAAAGGTGTTATCCTTTGTTAAATTACAAATTTCTAGATCTATTTGAATACTTGAACCCACATACTCTCTGGCCACCACATACATCTTTTAGAACCTTCATCTTGAACCAATTCAGTCTTTTTTACTAGTTCATATAGACACATGATCAAACCATATTAGTCTACTTCCATCCATTGTTTACCCATTGAGGCTAGAACTCCGTTTTCCATCAAAGGTCGTATCCTTTGTTAAATTAGAAGTTTTAGATCTATTTGAATACTTGAGCCCACATACCCTCTGGCCACCGCATAAATCCTTTGGAACCTTAATCTTGAATCAGATAAGTCTTTTTTACTAGTTCATATAGACACATGATCAAACCATATTAATCTACTTTCATTCATTTTTAACCCATTGAGGCTAGAATTCCTTTTTTTAATTCTAATCTTTCTACTCTTACCACTCAACTGCATCGAAGTCTTCATCTATGGTACCTTCGGTTTATGAACAGCTTTCTTATTAATGCCTTGGTAGGTTCCTTATAAACTGACCTGCCCTTTTGCTTATTGATGCCTTGATGCCCAATACTCTGCTCACTGCAAGCCCCTAAATCCAACAAGGCCAGCATCTTCACATGGGAAAAAAATATAATCAAAACATATTAGTCTACTTACACTCATTTTCCAACCATTTAGGTTAGAAATTTTCTTTTTTTGATAAGTAATAGGAATTTTATTAGAGATCAATAAAATGATACACAGTGAACGCTTCCTACAAAGAGGTGCGAGATGCAGCCTTCAAACATCTCAAAAATATTACAACCCCATACACTAGTCTCATCCCTCTTCTTATCATTGAAGATTTTGATTTTTTCCCTCCCAAACAGTCCAAACCAAAGCAGCTCCAGCACATACCTCCACAAGACTCTACCTCTTCTCTATGGCCACCTACACCCAAAAAAGCCAAAAAGCTTCTCCCAAAGACCTATAACAAGGGGCAACAGATTAGTAAGTGGTAGCAACTTTCTCCATTGGCTTTGCAAAGGATACACCAGTTAGGGGAGATACTGAGACCAGGTCTTCTTTTCTGTAAGTTGTCCAAAGTGTTTATTTTTCCAAGAGACACTTCCCAGCAAAGAGCTCCTACTTTAGGAGGAATGGGTTTGGACCAAATATCCTTACTATTAAAGGGTCGAAGGTTAGGGATCAAGCACAAAGCAGAGAAAAAAAGAAGCACAAGTAAAAAATCCCAATAGATTAGGGATCCAAATGCGAGCATCAAGTTTAGAAGGGTCCAAGCAAACAGGATCAAGAGTTTGAAGAAGCAAGGCAGCCTGGTCAAGCTCAAAGTTTTTCAAATATCTCATAAATCCCAAGTTCTAGAAAAAACCAGCAGATTGTGAGAAAAACACAAACCTCTGAATTGGTTCATTTCAAAAAGAGAGATGAAATACAAGGAAGGAAGGAGGTCCTTGAGGGTTAAGTTACCAATCCAAACATCCTCCCAAAACAAAACCCCATTTTCAGTACACACATCATACCTGATCAGGATTAAGAATTGGGGAAGAATGCTATGTATAGCCTTCCATGGAGTGTTCAAAGTAGCCTATTGAGATATACCAGCATCCCAACCATTACCTGCACCTCCATGAATACTTTCTACAACTTTTTTCCAAAGCCTTTCCGTTCCCAAAGGCCATCTCTACATCCATTTACCCAGCAAAGCTATATTTTTCTTCCCTAATACCGAAGCCTAAACCCCCTGCTCCTTCCTCTTGCACACTAATTCCCACCTAACCAAGTGATCATTTTTTTCTTCACCAGGCTCCCACAAGAAATCCCTCATAATCTTCTCTACTTTTCAACACCTCCCACTGTGGCATCCTAAAGACAGGTAGAACGTAAATTGGAAGATTTTTCTAAGTAATGCAACCCCCAAGAGAAACATCCAAGCCACCAACTTCTTTGCATAGTTTTTTACAATAAGATTCCACCTTCCCTCCCTTGGGTTGGCTCCTAATGGCATTACTAGGTATTTCAAAGGCCAGCTAGAGGTAGGACAAACAAAGGACTTCGCCACCCCACCCAACTCCCCCAAATTCAACCCGACTACAATTCTTTTCAAAATTGATCTTCAACTTAGAGACAAGTTCAAACAACTTTACCACTCATTTCAAGTTCCTTGCCTTCTGTGGGTCCTCAGTCTCACAAAAGATAATAGTATCATCCACAAATTTCAAGTGTGTTACAACAGTGCCCTCTTTACCTACCCTCCAACCTCTAAAATATCCAACCCTACCAATCCAAAATTCAAGTATCTCAAGCAATATGTACTATTGCGCTATTCACCTAAAAGATTTCAATTGGAAATGGTAAGCACTCCTCATTTGGATCATTATAGCCAGACATGTTACTGAAGCAACAATCCACCTATACTACGAGAGCAACGGAGATACTACAAGTTAACATCTAAAACTTAAATCTGTGGCCTTAGTTTATAGTGTCTTCTGTACTAGCAATTCTTGTATAAAAGGTCCTCATCATTAAAATGCACAACCTACATTGATTAAACCAATACATTTGCCTTCTATGGCAAGCTTCCTTTAAATGTTGCAGATTGTTTCATCCTCAGAAGTAATGAAAATCGTAGTGTTAGATAAAAACATGCACAACTGAACTGGATGCAAAATTTGCATGCAATTTGGATTTGCACCACAAACAAATGGAGCCTTTATATCATACTAAGAGATATCTTGCCACCTGCCATAAGTACTAGCAAACAGGTTAAGAAAAGGAAATATTGCATTTTTCTCATAACACTTGCTGCCAAATCAAGCATTTAACCTATTGTACCAAATAAAACCTCAGTATTTAGTATTTGTTTTCTTAAGAAATAAGACCAAGAAAAAATAAAAATAAAAACTATTGAAACATGCAAGTACAGGAATATTTTGCCATCAATCAAAGCAGAAAGTATTCTTTCTAGTTCACAAGAAATATCCAAATGGTGAAAAACTTCCTTGCATTGTAGAAGATTTGTTTCCCTCCTTTCCCCACTTTCACTCACCTTCACCCTCTGGTGAACATTCCCCAGGTTAATTGCCCCAGGATTCAGATAAATAAGACCAAGTAATAAAAGCAAAAGAGGACCTTATCACAAACAAAAACAAGCCATTAAACCAGTACAGAAGAATGTCATTACATTCATTCAGTATTAGGAACAAGATAGAAATATCTCTGGGATAGCCCATGCCCTGCCAGTTACAAGAAGTTGGTTACTCAAAACACCGACAGTTAAACTCTCAACCTGGTAGTGGAGTGCTGCCCAAGTAATACATTTTTGCAAAATCCAAACAGAGCTGGTGATCCCTCATATCTCCCCAGCCGCCCCAACCTTTAAATCCAGCTTGATACCCTGATTGACGCTTGTAAATATGCACTTCCCAGTCTGAATTGACGTTTGTAATCCTGTCAACCTCTTCTATTGCTATGTTCACAGAGCCATTGTCAATGCAAGCACCTTGCTCCCCTTGTCCTTGATGCAAGCCACACTTACCAAAGTGAGCTGCACTTGCCCTAGGTCCCCTTAGTGTATAAACAGGACCACCGAAGGAGGGATAAACAGTAGCCCACATTGTTATATCCCAGTTATAATCATCAAAGAAGCAAAATTCCCTTGCCCTAGAGTGGATCTTCCTCCAAACTGTCCTGTTAAAAGCATAACCAATGTTCCCAATCTTCTCAGCAATCAAACTTGCCCAACCTTCACCCCTCGAGTTCACATCAGATGGTGCCAAGTTAGCAGCATAGCAATCGGAACACTTCTGAGCCTTCAGCTTGGTAAGTAGCTGAATATTCCGGTATGCATTAGGAAAAATAAAGTGGTCTTCCTCTATAAAGAGGATATGACCTGAATGTTGCCGGGTCTCTTTCAACCCATCCCACACTGTGTTCATCATCCACCACCAGTGATGCTTCAACGACACAATCTTCGGAGATCGGTGGTTCCCATACTGATCAGGATTACCTTTGCAGTGCTTCTTGGATGGATCATCTTTCTGCTGGCAGTCCCCAGGAGAGACACCAGGAAAGCTATTGGGGAACAAGTGAGGTGAGTAAGGGGCAAAGATCTGCTTTACTTGGCAGAATCGAATGCTTTTAACTATCTTATTCATTTCTTCAAAGTATCCATCGTGGCTGACTATCAACAAAGTTTCACCAATACCCTCTACCTTAGACAAGCTCTCTACAACTACTTTGAGATACTGAGGCCGGTTATGAACGTACAGCACAAGTGTTATATGGTCCTCTGCAAGATTTGGAAAAAGATCCAAGTTTCTTGGGGGCAACCAATTTCTTTTCTCCAATGAAACCGACAATTTGGTCTGTTTAGGGAGTCCGGATTTTTCTATGGAGACTAAGGCTGTATGCTGCACAATACCTTCATCAACTTCATCAGAATCCCACGTAATATGATAAACTGAACCTGTTCTCCAGAGAAAAAACAGCAGCAGAACCCCCAACAAGGCAACTACAACCACATGTAATATCCGACGGAAAGCCGCATGCTTGATGCGGTTTTTCCTATCCAAACTCATTAGTTTGTTGCTCAGAGAAACAAACCCCGAAAGACTACCAACTACAAGACTAATTACACCATCCACAGCCAACGAAGAAAGAATCAATGAACAGGTCAACACCACAACTCGCAGAACCCATTGAATATTAGATCAAACGAAATAAAGGGTAAGAATCATACACCTCTTGCATCATCTTTACAGTAAGATACGAGCATCCAACGCTTCAAACGAAGACAAGCAGTGCATTTTACATCAAGCTTTTGATGCTTGCGACCAAATCCGGGGACCCCCAATACACAAACACCCAAAAGCACTCTGGTTTTTGCTTATACATCTCAAAATCTCTCAGCCCAAGACACAGATCGCAGATAATTCAAGACACCGTAAAAAAGACGAAAGAAGAGAAACCCACCATGAGATACGTCGAATATCCAACAGGGTTGCCTCAAAATCTATATTCCAAACATCAGATTTGCTCAAGAGCGGAAAACCTCAAAAGCCATCTAGACGACCTGACTCCCGAGTCCTGACTCCTGAGGAGCTCTCGTGGAAACTGCAGGGAACAGTGGAATAAAGACTAATTCAAGGGAAGTCCTCCAGGTCTTTGGTCTTCACGATAGAAGACTTTGAATCTTCTTGCTTCAGAAAAAATCGGTCGAAGCTTTCAAAGTCTTAATCGAGTGCCGTAGTGTTTACTTGATTACTTCCGGAATTAGTTGTTTTTTTTTTTTTTTTTATCTGCTACGGTCGTTTGATTAACTGATAGGAAGCTGAATCTGGCTGAAGTATGATTACCATTAATTAAAGGGGTTGTTATTGTGCAGTTGTCCTGAATTTCTGATAAGATTTCATAAATTACTTAAAGTGCCCTTATGATTCCTGATAATGGGAAACCCCCCTTTTATTAGTTTTTCGCCACATTCCCTTAACGTTTCTTACCTCCAATATTTTGAATTATACCACGGATTTAACGGAGGGGTGACTGAGTTGGTATGTTAGTTGATACTTGATTTGTTCTATCAGCAAATTCGATTCTCGCAATTATTAACTTTGCGTCCATGGTCTTTGTGTCCCCATATTGGTCAAACATGTCTATGTATACATGATCTTTGTGTCCTTTATTTTTACACTCTATTATTATTCATGATTGTAATCATAAGCAATTAAATTAATGAATTTGGTTATGAAACAAAATTATTAGTGATGAATTTTGCAAAAAGGGGGAATTATTAGTGATGAATATCACCAAATACCAAACAAAATTAGATTCCATGGATCCATTAAACCAAATCTATGAAGATGGATGCCATGGAAAAAGTGGTGAAAGAGATCAAGAAGATGGATGCCATGGAAAAACCTTCTAAGAAAGGTTGCTATGTATGTGTTATCTAAATGAATCTCTTTCAAATCAATGATTCTTCTATTTTGGGCCTTTGGTGACCCCTCAAATCTATGATTCAAATTGATATTTCTCTTGTTCCTTTTCATTCATTAGTGTGCATATTGATACCATGTTTGGGTTCTACTTTGCCCTTTTGGTTTGATGTGGATTGGTCTCTTTGGTCAACTCCAACTCTCTTTAAAAAGCCTTTGGAAATGCTATCTCAGAGAGAGTTCCTCTATTTCTTATGGATTTTTGCCATTCCCCAAATTTGATCATGTCATTTTAAGTACTTTCGTTCAAAAGCTTCTTTTGGGGCATTTTAATTATTTTTCAAAATTATCAGGGTAATTTAAGTATTTTTCAAGACTCTCCAAAGTAGCTTTAAGGCAGAGTTTGGGGTTTTCTTATTCCGTTTTTTAGATTGGGAGATGCTTATTCTAATAAGTGATCATGAGTATTTAGTGAAAAAATACTTATTCAAATAGGGGTTGTATAAATATTTTCAAAATGATGTAATGGGCCATGGCGGTAAAAAAAAAAAAAAAGCACTTAAAAATAAACCCAAAATTTGGGATTCTTGAATAATCACTTATTCACACTTATTTCCTAAACACAAATTAGTGATTATTAGTGTGGTTTTGACCCAAAATAAAACATTTACTTTTAAGCATTTCTAAATTTAGCCTAAAGTAATTTTTTAGTTTGTTAATTGAAAAAAAAAATAATAAGTCATTGAGTTCACCCACTCAACCGTCATCATACGTTCCCATACTTCTACTCGACGTCCTTGACCATGATGATATATCAGCCGATGAACAGAGTCTGGCATCCAATGAAGGAAGGCTTTGCAAATAAGATTTCTCCTTTCAAACGTTGGATTAGAATCCACTCATTTTTAGTAACACCCATATGGCCATATTTGATACTTGATATCCAAACTAACACACGTGCAATGCAGGTGACTGAGCTAGGAGTATAAATACAAATATGTAGAGTGCAAAATTATGTATTTTGTATTATTTTGTATGTATTTGTATTTGTACTCCTTCCAGACTGAGTCTTAACGAAAAAGAAAAACAAGATGGATAGAGATGATTATTCTTGGCTTGGCCTAGACTAGCTTGCAAATTTGGTTCCGAGCCCAAGTTTTTATGTGCAGACCTGGCTTGTATTATAATATAGTATATATTATTAAATATAATATAACATATATAACATTTTTTATATTATATTATGTATTATATACTTAATATTATATTTATATATGCATATATTCATGAATTGACACATGTCAACACATGTGCCAATACATATGCTATTCTCTCAAACAAGTCCTTATTTCAGGGGCCGAGCCAAGAAATTTTTATAAGGGTGGGCCAAAACCTAAATGAAGTATGGATGAACCCATAGGGGAGGCAACCATTGAAGTGGAGAGTGGAGGGAGGGGAAAATTTACATAGAAAATTATATTACAGTGGAAATTCTTGGAGCCATACCATTGAGGTGGGGTATGGCTCCCTTGGGTCCCCCTGGCTCCGCCCCTGCTTAATTCATAATCTAAGCGACAAAGACTTTACCAAAAAAAATCATATTCATAAGCAATGTTGTACTTGGGACAACACTCAATGTGAGACTCACAATGCTCAAGAATGGGGTTGCATTAAATAAGATCCATCCCTTGTTTTTTATGCATAGGCCCAATGTATTATAAATTTTATTTAATTTAAAATTTTCTAAATAATTAGAACTTTATCATTATATGCCATAGATTCGGAATTGAGCTGGGCCTGAGGCCCCAAACCTGGGCTAGGGTTGGGCCTAGGCTATAGCCCTTAGCATAGGTGTAAGAGGCCGGCTTGGCCTGGCCCATGATTGCCCCTATGCATGGCTATGATGATTGAAAGCTACAATAATCTCTTTCACTCAAAATATATGACGGCAAACACTTCTGCAGCAAATTAGGGGAGTGTAACTAAGCATGTAAGAATATTGTTGTTAGCACATCTCGTGACCAACTCATAGGCAACAAAAACACTTCCATAATTGGAGGGATGCTAGGTGACCATCTCGGCTACTAGGTCATTGTCAAATGGGTTTTGACAAAACCAATGCTTTTTTTTTTTCAACTTCCTAATTTGGAAATTACCTAGACTTGAATTTTATCTGGATGATGATTTGAATAGTTCGACAATTCGAGTCAATGGTAGGTTGAAAACACTACTTGTGGCAATGTAATTTACCTTAAGATTTAAGATGATAAAAACTGTTTGCGTTTAATGTTTATAGTTGAAGTCGCTTTATCAATTTCATGATATATGTTTTAGAGGCAAAATGATATTTTATTATTAAGGGCACTTTAACAAGATGTTTATTTTATCTTAATTTTGTATTTTATAACAAACCCCCAGTATTTTTGTGGTCAAGGGGCATAATTAATAGGTAAACTTAAAGGGAAGTCTATTTTTTATTGAAATTAGAAGAGAGGTCCAAGTAATTTACCTTTGTAGAAAAACTAAAAAGGGGTAAAAGACTTAAAAATACCTTGAGGTTTCATAAATTGACTTAAACATATCCTGAATTTTTCAAAAAGATTTAAATATACCTTGTGGACTGACCTCACTCGACTTAAACATACCCTCCACCAATGAAAAAACATGTGTGAAGTCATTTAAAATTAAGGGAAAATTCCCAATAGGTACCCTGTACTTTAGCTTGAGTGCCAATTTAGTACCCGTACTTTAAATCGTGACAATCTAATACCCAAACTTTCAATTTGGGACAATTTGGTACCCAAACTTTTAATTTGTGACAATTTGGTACCCGACATTAGATTTCCGTCAGTTAGAAACTCACATGCCGGGTTAAAATTTTCAAAATACCGAAAATACCCTTTATGAAAAACCCTTCTTATTTCTCCCCTGCTGTCTTCTTCTGGGTTGAAGAATGAAAGATGTTGTCTTCGTCCTAGGTTGAATGAAAAAACCTATTTCTCCCCTGTTGTCTTCGTTCTGGGTTGAAGAACGAAAGTTGTTGTCTTCGTCCTAGGTTGAATGAAGAAGCCTCTTGTCTTGGTTTGATCTATGGTAGCCCAGGAACACAAGAAAACAGTTAGGTTGGGGTTTTGGGCTGGTTGTCAGCATGGGTAAGGTTGGCACAAAGAACTCTTATAAGGACTTAAGTTGCACAGATTTCTCTTATTTCATAAGAGACATGAGTACTACATCGAAATCTTCTTTTAGATTCATTGTAGAAATTCTAGGAGTCTCAATACCTTGTACAACCACAACTTTGCTGCCATTATACCTGGTGATTCAATGGCGGGAATTGTGGTGTCAAATGGAATTTTGAAGTTCTTGAACATCTATAACACTCGACTGATTGTCTGGCTTGTTTTGACCTGGTATCCCAACTTTGCTGCCATTAACCTCTCAGGTGTGCTTCTTTAACTCTCATGCATGCTCTCCACTTACAAGTGTAAAGAAAAATCAATGTTGTGAAATCGGAGCTATTGGACTTCTGACTGTTGTTCCAGTGTTGACCAATGTTTTGCGAAATGTTTTAGTTCTGACCTATGTTTCGGAAACAAGTAGAAATCTGAATAGGATATTTTATAGTTGCACAATTAACCTTGTGTGCATATAAGGGCATTTGTTTGTATTCAAATTAATTATGAGATGTTGATTTCTTTGCATTTGATTTTATTCAGGGAAGCGTACCTCCACCATGCAATTTCTTTGAATGGGCAGCTCCCACAAACTTTTCTAATGAAGGCAATTCGTCAGAAGATCATCTGGAAAGCCGCATTGCAGAGCTTCATCAACTAGTATCTGGTTTTGACTGTCATATTAAGGCTATAGAGTCCTCCCAAGAAGTAGTTATTGAAGGGTTAAAGAGCATGGTGGTCTTAGTTATTGTGTTAATTGTTGTATTTTTTGGAATGTATATGTACAAGAAATAGAGTTATATGTACAAGAAGTAATTAATGAACTGTATTTGCCATTGCATTCAAATTATATGTACAATGAAGTTCCATGGTTAGTGTCCAACAATAATCGTATTCCAATTTTTTGCATATCTCCATTAGAGTGGGATGACCAACTTTGCATGTGAGATCCAATTGTTGGTTAAAGTGATGAGGAATTGTCTATCAATAATAGGTACCCTGGAACAAGTTACCTTAACAAATAATCCTTCATTAATACAAGAGATGATTCTAAAGTGATCAACATTAGCATTCTCGCACCAATACAAATAAGGGGACCACACCCATTCAACATTAGTATTCTTAAAGTCATCCCATCACCATTTACAATAAATGTGG